CCAACCAAGCCATTCTGTGATTCTGTGAACTGTAGTACTTGGGGTGGCATCCCAGAGGCTGTGGGTACCAGCACCCAGGAGGAGGTCCCTCACACAAGTGCTTTACTTCTGAGCCGTGCTCTCGGTGTCTAGTGCCATGGTAGGTCTGTGTCCCCTCCCAGAGCGCGCTGCATTGCTTCTTTGTGCTCACTTTTGATAAGAATTTATAAGTATTTATAGGAATAAAGGAGCTCTGCTCTTTTATAGCTGTATCTACTTCTCCTCTTCTCTGGTCCTTTTCTCAGTGGCCCCATGTGGGCTTATATCTTGGCCCATGAGGATGCTGTTCCCCTCTGGAGATCGCTGATGGGACCCACCAAAGTATTCCGAGCCCGAAACTGCGTCCCGGACTCCATCCGAGGAGCTTATGGCCTCACTGACACCAGGAACACCACGCACGGCTCAGGTAGAGCCGTCCTTCTCGGCTGAGCGTTGGGCAGAGACTGGAGCTGAGGGATGCAGGAATGATGGTGTTCTGTCTGCCCATGCTTGCTCTCCATTCTGGGAGCCAAAGTTAATGATTTTCTCACTCATACCTGTCCTGGTGTGACCCAGCCTGGCGCTTTTCTTTATGGCTTCTGCCTTTCCCTTTTCAACATACCGCCTATCTGTGGTGCCAGACTGGCGCCTCATCTCCTTTTCCTCTCTTTTCCAACAGATTCACGAGCTTCAGCCAGCAGAGAAATTGCCTTTTTCTTCCCAGAGTTCAATGAGCAGCTCTGGTACCAGCAGGAAGAGCCACGTCTGCGCTGCGGGCGGGTGTGCTACAACGCGGAGGAGCGCGTCCACTGCGTGCCCGGGGATGAAGAAGCAGAGCTGCCCTGAGTTACCCCGGGGTACGGCTTGCTGAGCTGGAAGCAGCTGTTTGGGTCGGCACCGTACCAAGATGTAGAGCCGTGGCACCTTGGGTGAGGGGAAGGGAAGGGTCTGACGCACACTGCGTTGTGCTGCCCGGGTTTGTGTCGTTCCTGCAGCACAGGGGTGCTGGGGCGTTTTAGAGAATCTTGACTAGCAGTGCTCCCACGTGGTACACGGGGCTGGCAATGCAATCACTGGTCCCTCGTGTTTATTTGGATGTGAGCAGCGCAGGTAATTCCGTCAAAGGGCCGAGTGGAAGGGAAGTTGCTCATTCCAGTGAGGATACGGTTGGTTTGGCTGATCACAGAACCACAGAACGTCAGGGATTGGAAGGGACCTCCAAAGCTCATCCAGTCCAATCCCCCTGCCGGAGCAGGAACACCCAGATGAGGTTACACAGGAAGGCGTCCAGGCGGGTTTTGAATGTCTGCAGAGAAGGAGACTCCACAACCTCTCTGGGCAGCCTGGGCCAGGGCTCTGTCACCCTCACTGAGAAGAAGTTTCTTCTCAAATTTAAGTGGAACCTCCTGTGTTCCAGTTTGTGTCCGTTACCTCTTGTCCTCTCATTGTTTGTCACCGAGAAGAGCCTGGCTCCATCCTCGTGACACTCACCCTTTAAATATTTATAAACATGAATGAGGTCTCCCCTCAGTCTCCTCTTCTGCAAACTAAAGAGCCCCAGCTCCCTCAGCCGCTCCTCAGAAGGGAGATGCTCCACTCCCTTGATCATCTTTGTAGCCCTACGCTGGACTCTCTCCAGCAGTTCCTGTCCTTCTTGAACTGAGGGCCCAGAACTGGACACAATATTCCAGATGCGGTCTCACCAGGGCAGAGCAGAGGGGCAGGAGAACCTCTCTGCCCTACAACCACCCCTCCTGATACACCCCAGGATGGCATTGGCCTTCTTGGCCACAAGGGCACAGTGCTGGCTCATGGTGATCCTGCTAGTGGGCTTCATACTCTTAATATTTGCTCTTTTCTTTCAGTCACATAAGGAGAAAATCGAGGAAAAAGAATATGAAAAAAATGCAGTGGTGAACAGGGCAGTGCGAGCTGTGCTGTCCTTGCTTTCCTGGATCCCAGCTGACAGACGAGGTTGTCCTCAGTTTTGTGTCGTGACTGGTGTCTGGAGCGTCTGGCGGAGGGCAGGGTTAGAAGTCATTCTCAAATTCTTTCACAAATGCTGTCTTTATTGTATCAGCATTTGAATTCTCCACAGTCCTGGAAAGAGCTGGACACCGCCTGCTGGAAAAAAAGGATAGATTAAATGCATAGAGGGAAATACTGGATGGTGAAAGGGCCCCTGTGGTGGGCACGGTCTGAATTATGGCCGTGCTGTGAGGAAGGAGTTTTATCACCCTTACAGTAAAAAAAAAACAACAAAAAGTTGTCTTACATTTAAGTGAAATTTCCAGCATTTCCATTTGTGCCTGTCGCCTCTTGTCTGCTCAGTGGACACCACTGGTTTTCTTCACCGCCTCGCATCAGGAATTTATACAGAGTGATAAACCCCTGCGAGCCTCCTGAAGGCTGAACAGGCCCAGCTCTCAGCCTCTCCTCGCACGTCAGATGCTTACATCCCTTGATCGTGTTCATGCTGGACTCCAGTTCTGCCCAGGCCTTCCTGTGATCTCTGCAGGGCTGAATAGAGGGGAAGGGTCTCCCTCAATCTGCCCGCAGTGCTCTTGCCGATGTGTCTGAAGGTGCTGTTTTCCTTTGCCACAAAGGTTCGTTGCTGGCTCGTGGTTAGCTGGTTGGCTCGTGGTTAGCTGGTTGGCTCGTGGTTAGGTGGTTGGCTCATAGCTGGTAGGCTCATGGTTAGCTGGTTGGCTCGTGGTTAGCTGGTTGGCTCATAGCTGGTAGGCTCATGGTTAGCTGGTAGGCTCATGGTTAGCTGGTAGGCTCATGGTTAGCTGGTTGGCTCATGGTTAGCTGGTTGGCTCGTGGTTAGCTGGTTGACTCGTGGTTAGCTGGTTGGCTCATGGTTAGCTCATTGGCTCATGGTTAGCTGGTTGGCTCATGGTTA